TACGGGAAACGTGGAGCAGGAGACCTGTTATTATTGAAACTATATGTGACAGTAGTAAACAGCCTATCCACGACTTTTCAAAAAGAGCTTGGAGATTTCTCACCGGTCAGTGATAGTCCAGCCTCTGTCCCTTTGGATCAACCCTGTCGCTCAGAAGTCGAATGTGAGATCGGACTTCTGAAGTTGAACGAGACCGGAAGACCAGAGGATCATCCTCTAGTTCTTTTCAAACACGGGGTCTGCTATTATAAATGATTTACACGAGTGAAACCGTGGGAGCAGGTGACTCCCAGCCGACTGCGGCCGTTCCAATATTGCCCCGGATTTCTAGAGAGGTTCATGTTCGGAATGCGACAAGCATGGAAGAATCAGACTGATCTCCATCGCCGCCAAATTGCCTGATTGTTGTCCTTCACAGACTGATTGGCGCTCATGGAAACAACATTTGTGATGAGCATGTCGCGTTTCGTCGAGGTCTGGGCTGCATCGATCACATCTTTACTTTACAATTGTTGTAGCACCATCACATATATTGGCGGCCCACCGTTGTTGTGTTCCTCGGCATCAAAGCTGCCTTTGATTCTGCGAATCGATGTGCTCTTTGGGTTAGTCTGCTAAAGATAGGTGTGCCCGAATAATATGTAAGTATTATCCGAGCTCTTTACGCGCATAGCTCGGACATAGTGAGGGCTTACGGCAAGCTGCCGCCCTCTTGGATAGCTCCAGCAGTGTAATACAGGGATTCCTGCTATCACCTTTCCTCCTCAACTTCGCTATTGACGAAGTCACGGAGATCGCGTTCACTGGACACGAATTAGAAGGTGTGAAGCTGCTTTCATGTGAGCGACTTCGTGAATTGTAGTATGCTGACGATATTGGCTTCATCTGTGACAGCTCACAAACGTGCCGATGGGCTCTGGACAGAGTAGCACTGGCTGGCTTCGCATCTTCGAAATGCAAAGCTTTCCTCCCATATATACATGGATCGCCTGCACAGGCCCTTGGTGGGGATCAGGTAGATGGCGTTCAAAAGTTCAACTACCTGGGCAGTTGTATAGCAAAAGCTAGAGTCGCTTTTGCTAATCTTCGTCACCTATGGCGCCGACGAGACGTCACCCACTCCGTGAAAAGCAGTTTACAATGCAGCCATACCTTCGACCTTGCTGTACGGTTGTGAAACCTGGCCCATTAGACCGACAGACGTAGAGGTTACTTACGTTCAACTACCGGTGCCTTCGCAGTTTGGCTCGTATCAAGTGGGAACTCCATGTGAGCAATGAGCGTGTCCGACGCCTTGTTTATTGCGTAGGAAGGAGAAGCAAACCGCTCTGCAACGTCATTTCACGCACCATGCTCCGATGGCTAGGTCACGTGTTGCGCATGCCAGCACACCGACTTCCGCGAAGTGCGTCATTTGCTCGCCGGGGCTATGGATGAAAGAAGAGGAGGGGCAGCCAAGGAAGGAAGGCCCTTATTTCCAAGTCGGCCTCGCTTGGAGCGTCTCGCCTCCCTGGTTGGGGACCGAAGGACGTTGACCACGTTTGGCTGGATAAATTTATTGACATGGCTTGGAGCCGACCTCAGCGGCGTTTGTGTTGTGAGGTGTTTCCAAACTCTGGCTTACGTTTATGATGATGATGATGGTCATCATCATCATCCATAGCAGTACATCAGCCATTTGAACTGATGCTTCGCTGCCATACAACCATGAGGACCTATGAAATAAAGAATAAGAAGAGGGAGAAAAGGGGGACTTACCTGAAAACCTTAATGCCCTAAGCAAACACCTTGTGTAGACAACATGCCGTCACAAACAGCTGGCTATCGTGCAAAGGTAAGGCGGCATCGGCGAGACAGCTTCCTTGGGGCTTTCACTGCCACGCGTCATAATCAGCCATTACCCCGCAGATAACTCAGCACCAAACACACTTTAAACAGACAATCCGATTAGGAGACGGCAGCAGACGTGCCACTGGTGTCGGTTGCGAGCCATGTCCTGTAAAGTCTCGAGCCAAGCACAAGGTGAGTCAAGTGGACTCCAACCCGGAGGACGAGACGGACCAACGGAATCCAGTTTGGTCGTCAGTGACTTCATTTCCCGCTGCCAGGTCAACTTCTGTCCACCTCGAGCCTTGCGCCATCCTACACCTGGTAGACTGAACAGGGCCCTCCTAGGTAAGCGGTGACCAGGCATGCGTAGCACGTGCCCGAGCCAACGCAACTTATTCAATGCTATCTGTTGTTCTAGGGAGCTAGCATGATTATCACCACCTAGTACTCGCCTACGCACATCATCGTTGCGGACACGCTGGTGCCATCCGACACCAGCAATGCTTCGCAAACAACGATGATCAAAGACTTGAAGGCGCCTCAGATCTTCAGACCGAAGGGGCCAAGTTTCACTACCATAGAGCAGAACGGTCCTCACTGTGGTCTTGTATACACGGCCTTTCAGACGGAGGGAAACTCCCTTCTGTCGCCAAAGATGACGCAGGTTCAAGAAGGCAGCTCTGGCCTTTGCAATGCGTGAGCTCACGTCAGTGAAGGTTGTGCATGTGTTTGGTCAAAACGGCCGGGAGTGCGAGATGAGCAGGACGCGTGGAAATCCCGGCGGACAAGCTGAGATCGAAGTAGCCCAACCTCTAGCTCGATCTGATGATGATGACCAGCAGAAGCACTAACTTGGTGAGAGCTCCCTACCGTGAGTTTCTTGCTGCTTCTGAGGCATACTGTCCCACAAGAAAGGAAACATCGAATAGCGCTCTACGTCAGTCGAGCCGTGAGCTTATAGCCAGTAAATTTACGGTCTCACATGGCTAGATATTAATGAAAGAGGGCCATGGATTGTGAGACTAAGTTAGTCTGACCCCTAACCATTGACCTACCTATACCTTTTCTCAGCCGATAGAATCCATGGCGCTTTCAAATTGCCTAATGAAATCCTTTTTCCATAGATCTCTCAAAATGGTCCTTAACGCCTTCACGTTGCATCTAACGGGCGCAACCACTTCTAAAAATACGTGCTGCTTGTTGAGTGGCCAATCTCAAATGTTGTAACAGATAAGCACACAGAGTTTGATGATAGTGTCTGTTTTGGGTTTGGTTACTCAATGGGCCGTAGCAGTTAGAGGCGTTCGTGCCCGCTAGATGCAACTTGGAAGCGTTGTGGACCATCTTGAAAGATCTATGGAGGAACATGATTTCCTTAGGATGGAATTTGGAAGCGTTATGGATTCAATTGGCTAAGAAAAAGTATAGTATGAATCACTCTGATGGAACTTGGAAACTTCCACCCAGCATAGCTCAGTGGGTCACGAAGGTATAAAACCATCGCGCCATCATCAGCTTAGCACGTCGCTATGCAGCGTTACCAGCCCAATCCTAATTCTAATCGGTAGTAATATAAACACACCAGTGGGTTGTCTGAACTCACTAAGGCCGTCGCTCTTTTTCCAACTTGTTTGTCTTATGCTAAAGGCTGATATTCAGGCAGTTGACCTAGTGAGTACACTTTTCATACAGAGAATGGTATCCGTATTGTAAGTTGAATGTGTGCCATTCCGTCCGCTCTGAACACACTTATTATTCAGTGGTTGCATGCGCTTCTCGTATCACCGGTTATCATGTCAACTGGATTTCGAAGCCCGATAGGTCGTTCGTCTGTTGGTACCTAGATCTGTGGTCCATTCTTTACTCACTCGATTATTTATCCACAGAATGGTAGCAGATAGCTCAACATATTGACGTTAGGACACGTCATGTATTTTCCAGAGAAGTAAAATTTCTTAATCTGTTTCATGCCTTCTCCATCTGTTATAACTGATAATAATATGGTCATGGTAGCAGGACTCTTCAACTCCCCAATTTCTGTGTTATGGCACTTGTAAACGAATTCAATGCTCCAATATCAGCAGTCCAATTGTACTCAAGTCAGACAAATAAATATTTTCAGTGGGGCAGTGTAGCGAACACAGCAGAACCAATTTAAAACGTAGCAGTATTTGTGGACACTTTTCCTTTGAAGATGGATGCCGGAAATCGTGGTTGACCGTGAGTTCAACGATTGTGCATGTAGTTCACACATCACGTACTCTCTAGTTCTCATTCATAGTCGGAATTGATAATTATTTTAATGGCTTGTTTTGCCGTCTAAACAGTTTCTTCGAGAAAGTTCGCTTCTTTCTTGACACAGATTTAATTCGTTTCCCATCTTCCGCACCCGAATCATCAATCGGTGCTATAGCCATTGGTGGACTGGATAGCAAAAGAATATGTAAAAAAAACTCACTGAGGAATTGAAACTGTTTGCTACGTCTCGTCGTTCTGGCTGTTGCTATTGAATCGACCACATCAATAGTTAGGAATCATTTCTGACCTGCTATAGTCAATCAATGAGGCGCTCGCATCAACTTACCACCGGACAATTCCAACGTTTTTTTTTACCTTGTTTTGATTGACTCGGTTTTTGCCTTCTTCTCTCACCCACTCTGGTCTACAATAATGTGGCAACGTGAGCGTGTATAGCCTCGTCCACCGCATTTTGTCGCTCGAGTCAATCGGTTAGCTGAAGTACACTGTGATTGTTAGCCGTTACGCTTAGCATACGCACAGTCTGGTGTTGAGTCACCACACCCTAGAGAAATGGTCCCGGGGCCGGTTGAATACACGGGACCAAATTTCGTGTATTTCCGTTCGCGTATCACAGATGACCAGCGGCAACCGAATCTCAACGCATTTAGTCACAGTTTTTCTGATCTTGTACTATTCAGTATGTTTGTTTCCAAATTACTACGTGCGGAACTTAATGGCGCAATTAGAGGATCGGTATTCATTCAACAGTCTCTCACCGGTTACTGGATGCACGAATGCTAGACGAGTCAGCAGCAGTTTTCGAAACGTATACGCTAAGCATTATTTTTGCTGTCTGCCATTTCCTTTATTAATACCGTGGTTGGATAAAATACACTTTTGTGACGTATACATGCGTGTTTTCTTTCCAGCTGGTGCAACATCCAGACTTGCCACTATTCCCGGTTATTGGCGAGTACTATCCGTTGTCTTCTCCGTCTTCAACATTTACTCAGTCACGATTGTCCGGTGCGCTTTTTGCTTTGCCTCTAACAACAACAGTTCTTCGAAGTAATCAGCCCGGGCTGACCAGCCCAGTTCACTTTTGTCGTTTATACACGTCCAACCGGTCGATCCAATCAGCACAGCATTCATTTACCACGTACATCAATCCGCCTGACTTCAATATCCGAATGCCTCGTCATTCTCAACCGAAAGCGAATCAGGACGCGGAATGCTCTGCATTTCCAGCCCCGCTTGCTCCCATCGCGGCAGGAAAAAAGAGAGGAGCATCTGTGGTCTCTAGAGGCAACCTCATGACATCCACTCCCGGTGTTTCTCTGAATTCCAACGACCAACCTCCTCTGCGTTTGCCCCCCAAGCTCAAAGAGGCGGTAAGCCACAAGGTTTCTGGTTCCAATAACCTTCACATTTTCTCTTTTTAAGTGAGGTGTCACTGCGTCATTTCGTTTACATGCCTTATCTTGCGTCATTGAATGTTTTCGCAGGTTGCCTCGAATGCCTGCGAATCGCGAGTATGCCAGGTGTCGCGGTAACAGTGAAATGCTGTAGGTTGAAAACGCATCACAGAATAAACCTGGTGCCCTCATTCTCACAAATGGCTCCTAGTGGTCGTTGTTCACTCCACCCGGACCAAGCTTGTTGCCTGCAAAGCGTAGGAAGGAAAGCAATTGACCGTACTAAGAGCCTACTGGGACGATCCACAGTGCACAAGAGTGCCTAGATATGTACATAAATTCAACACCGCCAAAAGGACAATTAGCATAGTGCCACAACATATGGGAAATTCAATAAACAAAGGTAGAGGGAAAGAATACCATTCGATGTTCATGGGAATAGAGAGTCACAACAGGTTCGCCATTGCGCACGACTTCTTGCCGTATCCGAAAGTGTTTCCAGCCATGCGTGTGAGTGAGGAAAAGGCACAAACTACTATCTAATACGTGGTCGATGTGCTTCAACTACGTCATATTATTTATCGCTTGTCATTCGTAATGTGACCGAGGGTTAGTATGCCTCTGACCCATGATCTACACTTGGCTGCACTTTCCATATCACCTCATAGCCATACATGCCAACGACTAGAGATTAGGGTAACTCGATCCCGGCCTCGTCGCAGAAACGGGAGTTTGGCGGTTCTCTTCCACAAAAGTCAGTCAAAAGCTGTAGGCTGAGCGCGGCTGCGGCTAGCACAGTGCATGAGCTTTAGTCTGACGGCGACGGAGCACACAACCGTTGCTCATTTGTCTGCTATCGCGTGCCTTTAAGCCAGGTGGACACTGATCAGCAAACCTACCCAAATCCGCCTGTTTGACGTTGATCGCGCGTGCATAATTTGCTACGGTCGAAGCACATGTACAACTACTCGTATGTTTGTACCTCCGCAGGATGCGTACAATCGACCTCACGCAGACCCCACTGTGATTCAACAGTTACATTTCCGAACCGACCTGCTTCCACTTCCTTGTGGGTTAAATCCCTGAGACGAAGGCTTTAGCTTGGGTCCGTCAAGCAAGCATCCACCACCGCCTCGTGAATATGACCACCTGGTGCACCCGATCAAAATGCCTGCTCAGAAATGCACAACCAGTGAGCGTCATTTATGCGCAGCTCACTGGTTTTCCTTTTTCCCTTTCTTTCACTTACGCATCTGTACTTCAGAGCAAATGTTAGCGAACAAGCTCGTTTTCAGTGGTTCCTCATCAGGCTAATACACCACAAATGAATGACATGAACATAAACATCAGCTAAGAGTACAGGTTCAAAACCCAGATGGTCTGAGTGACCAAGCTAGGCGATTGGCCCCACGGCGATCAAAAGTTTGTTTGTGTGTGTGTGTGGCGTTGTCCACACTATGTGTCCGTGTTACAGGGGACCAGGGTAGAGTTAGTGCCCGGACAAATTTCTTGTGTGCACATAGGTCAGGGTCATGAAGCCTGATGGCTATCGCTTCGGCCGCTGCTTCGTAGCCATATGCAGTTAACCGGAAGGAAAATGTTTTCTCTAGATGTAGTGTCGCTTTTCACTAATGTTCCGCTGATGATAGACTACCTTTGCGACGCTGTTCGATTGCACCATGTAGATGTCGGTCTTTCGAACGAGCGACTTAAACAGTTGCTTCTGATGTGTACCAGGAACGTACAGTTCCTGTTCGCCGGGAAGATCTACAGACAGAAGGACGGAGTCGCAATGGGCTCTCCGTTAGGACCATTGCTAGCAGTATTTATGAGTAAATGAGAACAATTATTTAGACGGTTATCGACAAATTAGTCTACTACGAACGGTATGTGGACGATATATTCTGCATCTCAGATAGTTATTTATGCAAGGATGAATTAGTGAGGCAACTTAGCTCACGCAAACATAAAACTCACCCTTGAATCTGAGTGCAACAACCCAATGTCGTACTTAGACTTTCAGATTAGCCGAAGATCTGACGGGTCGGTCCAGCGTAGTGTCCATAGGAACACAACGTGGAATGGGCAATATACTCACTTTGTCAGCTTCGTCCCGCTCAGCCAGAAACGGAAACTTGTTCGATGCCTAACCGAGCGAGAAAGAAGGATATGTAGCGAGGACATGCTTTCGGATGAGCTAAATTTTGTACGAAGCCTATTCGATAGAAATGGCTATCCTGAGAGGCTCATTCGGAGAAACATGGAGGTACGAGAAGCGAAGACAAAAGTGGATTCAGTAGGAAAGAAACCGATCTACTTATCGTTACCGATCAAGCCCATCTCTTGCTTCGCATTGTGTTAACAGCACACCTAAATCAAACCAAGGATCTCATCAGACTTTGTTTTTAACGCTCACAATCAGCATCCAGTGAGTGCACAAACAACTCTCTCTGCGTTTCTGAGGTCAACACTTTAAGCAATGATTACTACCTGCCTCTCGTCTTTGCTTATCTCGTTTGAATGGCTTAGTTTGCTTGCGCTGTTAATGTTGCACCTGACCAGTGTAGAGCACTAGTGCCGCGAGCAGTATGCACAGCTGTCTATCGTCGCCTACCTCGAAACAGGTGCCTTTTTACTAGTGAGACTAGAGTCCATCAAAATGTGCCTGCAGCTAGCCGTGGTCGCAATTATTTCATCTTTGTCGGTCGCACATTTGTAGACTGCGTATGATCAGTCTCTAAGCTATCCCATGTGAATTCTGATGTCAATATTCCCAACTAGACCTTGCTTTCACTGTTTTGTTGGTTTCCCTATTAAATCGGAGGATAGAGACGTAAACGCTTAAGAAAATCCTTTCTGGTACTGAGCAACCGGGATTATCATCCTCAAACAACTCCGCTTCCTGGGATCACATTCTTTCTTTTTCTACAGTACAATTTTGATGAGGTAATCGTATCGTTATTTGATAAAGCGGCTTTGTTTATCGAATATTCATAGTACTGGCTGTCCGGCGCATGTGAGAATAATACTTGTGAACTCTTGTGCTTAGGCACCCAGTTTTCATAGTAGCTGAATTGTTAGTAGAAGGATTTAGTAGTTTTTGTAGGTTCGTCGCAGTTAGACACAGGCAGACAGCCACTACACATCCAGGAAAGCGCTAGACGGCCATTTTGTCCCATTGGGACTCGTCAGTAGCCTGCCCCCGCCGAATCTCGCCGTTTAGCACTTACATGAATTATTAAGTTACACAAAGTATCAAATAGTTTGTCAGATTTTCTGAACAAACTATCGAAACTTAAACCAGTGTCATCATCAAAGCTACCTTCAGCGATTGAACTTGCTGCTGTGTTTGTTCAAGTAGCAAAAAGATCACCCTGACTAGTGATCGTTTTCAGGGTAAATTTTGCCATCGTGGCCTCAGTGAGGCACGGCCACACCCGTTCTTATTCAAATTCCTTGCTGCTAATAAAGTGGTTTATGGTGCTTATCCACAAGAATTAGCACCGCGAGATTGTCCGTGGTATTCATGCACAATACTTTTGTGAACAGACTTTCTAGCTCTATAAAGATTGCAGAATAAGCGGGTGCGGCACAGCTGGCATCCGGTGCAATAGCTTACAACTGGCAAAATTCAACATGAAACTACCGTTATCCATTTGATTCATTCTCACTATACACGTTGGCTAGAGATGGAAAACACCTCAGCTGTTGTGCCGCAATACATAAGAAAAAAAAACATGCAACAGATGCCCTACAGCTGAGCTACTAGTAACGGATAGGCATCGTTCCGAAAAGCTACCAGCCTGATATTGTGACGCAAAAAATTAAATTATGCAAAATTTATATTTGGCTAGGACATGAGATCGCGGTCGGAGGGAGAGGCTAAGCGGGGTGGGGACAAAGAAACTCACAAAGACATTGAGGTCAGATCCTAGCCATGTCAACAAGTGTATCCCGCTAAACGTGTTCATCGTCTCGGACCCCGACCAGGGATCCTAGAGGCTCCATCCGAGCGCAGCTTCGAAATAAGGGCCATCATTTCTCTTTACAAAGTCATCGCTTGGCCACCTCGTTTTACATGAATACTTATAAGGTATATTCCTCGGAGGTGCGAATCCCAGTCCAACTATGCGCGCAAACAATGCACGTCGCGGAAGTCGGTGGTCTGGCATGCGCAACATGTGCCCTGCCATCGGAGCCTGGTGCGTCAACTAACGGTACTGAGCAGCTCACTCGCTCTTCATTCACTAAATACACGACACCCAACGCACTCATTGCTCACACGGTGTTCCCACCAGATATAATCCAAATTGAGTAGGTACAAATGGTCGAATGTTACTAGCCCTTTTACGTCTTCCAATCTAATGGACCAAGTTTCACAACTGTAGAGTAGGGTCAAATGTAAGGCTGCATTCTAAACTGCCTTTCACGGAGTGAGTGATGTCTCGTCGGCGCCATAGGTGGCGAAGGTTAGTAAAGGCACCTCGAGCTTTTGTTTTACGGTTTATGGCCTTGTCTTCGATCCCACAGACGCTGCTACAACTGCCCAGGTAGCTGAATTTTTGAACGACTTCAAGCTAATTCACACCAAGCGTCAGCGCAGGAGGCAGTCCCCGCCAATATTGGTGAAAAGTTTTGCACTTCAAGGGTGCAAAACGAAGCCCAAAACGACTGATAACCAGTGCTAATCTGTCGACTGCAACTTGGCACGTTTGTGAGCTTTCACAGATGAAGGCAATATCGTTAACATACTCCAAGTCACGAAGTCGCTCACCTGAAAGCAGCTCCACACCTTCTAAGTCGTGTCCGATGAACGCGATTTCCATGCCTTCGTCACTAGCGCAGTTGAAGAAGAAGGGTGACACGGGCATCCATGTTTTACAACGCTGGAGATATTGGAGGGCGGCGACAGCTTGCCGTAAGCCCTCTGCGCGTGTAGCGCTGGGTTAACATTTACTTACTTCTTGGGCACGCCTATCCTTTGCAGACTGTCCCAAAGGGCACATCGATTCACCGAATTGAAGGCCCCTTTGGTGTCCAGGAACAAGACAACGTTGGACCGCCAATATATGTGATGATGTTACAACTGGCGCAAAGTGAAGATATGATCGATGTAGCCCAGACCACAACGAAACCCGGTTTGCTCTTCACGAGTGCCAGTCAGTCTGTGAACGAAAACAGAGGCAAGCAACTTGGAAGTGATAGGGAGTAGATAGATTCCTCTATGGTTGCTGAATTCCGATCTTGAGCCTCTCCTGAAATTGGGACAGTAACGGAGCGGCTGCATTCTGTCTAGACAGTTTTCTGCTCCCACAGTTTTACTAGTAATTCGTGTAAATCGTCAGTAAGAAGGTTGGAAGATCATCTGGTCCGCGACTTTTTTCTACTTCGGTAGTCTGATCTCACGTTCGACTCCTGAGCGACAGGTTTGGTCCATAGGGATAACCCACAGAACAGGGCGATCAGTGGCCGGTGAGAAATCTAACAATTCCGGCGGATTAAATTGCCTCAGCCTAGCGTTCTAAGCGTTTCAGCAAGTGGATAGGCTGTCTAATCTCATCGCGTATAGTTTCAATAACACCAGACCACCTGCTACCCGTTTCTCGTCTTAGACGGAATAACATTCGATGCTTATCAAGGTCAGCGGCCAGTTCCATCTCCGGTGCATGATGAGAACACCAGGATTCGCGGTCCCTCTTCAGGCTAGTACGGTGTTTTGCCCGGAGCTCATTGCGAGTCTCATTGTGTTCGCTTCCGGACGGAATGTGCCCGCGAGCATCGGTAAGTTCCAGAAGCCCAATGTCTACCTTGGGTATTAGACTTATCACACAAGGATTTTCTCGCTGCTAATAAGTTCTGGTGAACATGCGACCAGTGACCAACTGTATTTAGTGATCGCTTGTTCAGCCTAGATGCCAGCGTACTTCGATAGGCGTTCAGAACATTTGGCTTCGCTAGTTGGCTGCTGTCAATGCACTCACAGCGTCGTCGTGTGCGTCCGCCAAAACTCACCTGCAGATCAGCAAATACGAGGTCAAATACATGGTCAGTGTCCACACATGTGGTTTAACTCGAGCGACTTGGACACAGCCTCTTCAGCAGTAACTGAGTGCAATGTGATCGATTTGCGTCCAAGGCTAGTGGGCGCGATGTCACCATCCGATTGAGAAGAGCACTATGGAGCACAGCTTCTGAACTCACTGGCCGGGGTTCCACGAATTGCAGACGCCCATGATCGGTCGTTCGACAGCACACCACAAGGATGTGCTTCTGTCAGGAGTTCCGTTACCGAACAAATACACGACACGTCATACTTAAACGTACGTTCGAAGTATTACACCGAATGTTGTTGGAAGTATTCCTGAGTAAAGGCGTTTAATCGATGTGGGGACGCTTTGAGTGAACAATTCATATAGCATGTTAGGATACAGCCAATGGTGCAACGGCGCTCGCTTTCATTTTTCTCCTACAACCGCATACGTCATGAAACAATGCGACCGAAGCTGGAAGGCTTATCACAGGGACGGTTTTCGTGCTCCCGTATCCTAACTCCAACCGGTCGCAGAACCCGAGCAATTCCTGGTAACATTGCAGTCAAAGATATGGCATTTGTATGCTTAAAGGTGTCAGCAGAACGTCGACTCTCCGCTGCGAGACTAACATCACCAGCCGCGTGCGAATTTGGAACAGTGCGGTGTCGCTTCCACTTACGTAGGATCGAATACTGACCGTCAGTTTTGCACAAACTGAAGCCCCTATTGTAACCAAGATAGAAGAATGCACCTACGGTATATCGAAACACTGGCAGCTTGGGTTGACGATTAATTTGCTCATTCGTTTGTTGAGGATAGAAATTTGTTTGCATACGTTTTGCCACCGTGTGAGCTAGCATCGTGAGTGCGCTGTTGTGCAGAGTGTAATATTGCTGATTGGATCGTCGATCCGTGGTCAACGTGCAGTTGACTTTGAAAGTGACTTCTTCGATCTGCGCCCCGTGATCACTATCCATTTTCTCCGCGACTGAAGTCGTCGTTGAGTTGTCCTTATTCAGGCGGCGTCTTGAAATTTCCCAATTTCTTTCCGTCAATGTCCATACGCACGTTGGTTGAGTTCTTCTTTGAGAACCAAGCTTCTGTGAACTCGCTTTCTCTTCTTATTTCGCCTCGTGCCAGGATTTCTATTTTATGCCATTCAAAGCTGTGTCATTCTTCGTCCAAAAGCACTATGCATCGTCCATAGTTTCAGATGGACGATGCATAGTGCTTTTCGCAGGCTCTTTTATCCTTGTTGCCAATTTTCTTCCTGTTTGGCGAACACAGTCCCTTTTTGCAATCTCTATAATTTAGTTTCCATACAATATTTTGTTGTTAATGCGATCCCAGTTTTTCTTTTGGTTTTGACAGCGGTTTGCTCAACGTAGCAGTTGGTTTGTGTGCTACCATGAGATGATGCTGTTTGAAGAGTCTGACCGTCATTTTGGATATATACTTCATCGCAGGCAAAACAACCCATCTCTTCGTCACTGGTGTAGCTGGCTGTTTGCGTGGTTGTGGTTCAGACATTCGGATGAAGCTTCGCGGGTATCCGTTGAGTTGGAAACGTAAATTGATGCTTTTCTTCCGTGGTACTGCATTGTATACAAGGTGATCATGCGCTGTACACATTCAACGGAGTAGTGGCCAGCCATACAGATTAGACGCCGTCGACGATAGATCAGCTGAGATAAGGTAAATGCACATACTGGTGCATAGCGTGTGCAAAATCATTTTGCTTTGAAGTACAGCAAAACCCCGTAGAAAAAGCGTCATTGCATGTATTCGCTATTTTTTGTGTACATGAACTACGCAGTGAGGGAGAGGTTATAGGTCCACTGTAGAGTATTGGTTTTGCGGAATTCAGCAAGTTTGTGTGCACCGAAAGGCTAAATGGCTAGATACTGAAAGTGACGTAGCTGTTTGGTTGATACAGATGAATGACAAGTCACCGGTGATTGGTAATCAGGATTAATGTAATGAGCAAATTCAGCGTAACGCGGTTCTAGCAGCATTTCAACTGAAACTTCATTAATTAAAATGCGAGGCATCAGCAGCACCACCAGTCGCGCATGTGAGGGTAACCCGGTCCCCTACGCTGCCTCGAACCAGCGATCTCCGGACAGGACACGGGCCGGCAAATCACTAACTAGCCCAGTATCCTAGTTAGTCTCTGAATAGCGTGCATATAGAACTTCTAATGACGCGACCGGTAAGTTTGACACCACATAAATCCTTTTCCGGGAAGTTTCCTAACTGCTAGACGCATGACTAGATTTGTGTCTAATGTCGTGGACACGATATTTCTTGATGTTGCCCTTATTATGTGCATATTCGCTGTTGTGCCAGCTAGACTACGTAGTTAATTCTGTCCCACCGCAATATTTTTCCAGTCGAGTTCCTTTTTGTTTTATCAGCTAGACAAAAAGCACGAGTTTCGTGCACCAAGCTAGCACACCCACCAAATGTTTGAGGATAGCTGACCTATTACGTCGTGCCGCCTTAATTCTGTCGACACAGCACCCTCTTTTGTCTCCCTTTCAGGAGCGCATGATGCATGTGCAACGATGGGTAAATCATCTTCCTATTCCCGCCGGAGGTTCTTGTTCTAACTGGACATATGCCAATTTGCAAGGATACAGACACTTTGATGAGGATCGTGAATTGACTCCTCCATCGAGTCGCAATTATCTCTCTAGTCTGCCATTTACCCCCGAAGAAGAGCAGATGATGATCCGCTTCTTTTCTCCACCTTCGGACTACCGCCATAACCAGGCGTCGGCCGCCTTGCAAATTCCTTATTCATCCAATCAACCCCACATCTCTTACCACGCCCAACGCACATCCGCCCTACATCAGACTACTGCTAACCAACACTTAGCTTCCTCTATGCAACAGGCCGACGAAGTTGCTGCGACTGGCGGCACTGATATTCCACCCTGTATTCCTCAATGCAAGCCTAGTGCTCACCATCGGCCAGAAGCGGACGGTCCCGGATGCAGTCGCTTTTTTGCCGAATGGGAGACACGTCTCATCAGCCGCCTGTTTCATGAGTATTTTCCCGGGCGTCCAGAACCGATGGGCAATGCCGGCACTTTGCCTTCTGTTGGCGAAGTCCGTTCCCGAATAGCCACATCAAGACTAAAGGATACAAGAACTCCAACGGCTATCCGAGCTAAAATTAAGCGGATGCAATCATCTGGCACGTGGATTGAATATCAGTAACCCACCTCCGCTTGCGATAGCAATTCCGACGACCCTATCACTCCTGTGATCACTGCACACTTTGGTCCCCATGAATCATCCACATCCATTTTACGTGTGTATAGTTTTGAAAATTTACCCTACTGCACTCCATGAGCAACCACACATCAGTTACTGTCTACGGAGAGCGGCGTGTTCTTGGTGTATCTAGCTTGATGCTAAGCAAACGATTCTACTCACCCTTTTCATGTTTACAAAAGTGCTTTCAGATTGATTCCTGTGTCGTCTGTCTGCGTTTTACCCGTTCGCCCCATACACCGTCCGGTCCCTGTTTACAGCGCCCTACATACACCCGCGTTCAGGCGATCGATGCGCATTCTCATTGGATGCATGCTCGGTCGTCCGCCATTTTCGTGATCTACCAAACTGTTTTTCTTAGTGCGGCTCTACCTTTTAGTTTGTTTCATGGATTACGGCACTATCAAGTCTGCATTTGACCATGTGGTCTTTTGCTCTCCATTGATGAACTCAGCTTACTTTCGTGACAATTATGGTCTGTTTGTATTCCATATGTGTTTTCTGTCATTCGTGAAAAATCAATGCCCATGAATCTTTCTCTGCAGTGGAATCTCGATTGACTCTTATTAGAGTAGCTTTTATCCGCATTCGACACTGAACCTGAGCGTGTGTTCTGCTTTGCCAAACAGAGTTTGAGATCCTCTGCATATGCATGCGTCTCATTGTTTTTTCACCTCCTGTATAGACGCTTAGCATTACTCGGAATATCCACTGGCACAATGGGTCGGACACATCTGTTATGCAGGCGCTGATGGATAAGTACTGGACGTTTCAGCATGTTTTTCAATGCACCAGACATTTTGCGGATCAACACCGCACTTAGTTCTGACACACGTAGCAACTACTAGAGAAGGATGGTCTATTGGTTTGCTCTAGTAGCCGTACCGCGTTGATGGCCGCATAGTATAAACTACTGCGCGAATCAATAAGGTTTTCTAAAGCTTCGTGTCATCGCAATCAAGAGTAGTGCATTGAACTCTACGGTGCGGTCAGTGTTTCATGCCTGATTTAACGATGCAGTCGCCTCGTCAAGTCAATATCAAGTGCGCGAACAGTCGTACGAATCTCTGGCTGCTTCGAGAAACAGCTCCAAACGGATCTAGAAAGCTCGTGGTCTGAGTGTTCGCTGGGTTCGGCAATTTGACCGCAGTCAAACTGCCGAACTCAGCGAACAGTCAGACCGCCAACTGAACAACCTGAGCTATCAACATTTGCTTCTATATCGGATTTAGAAAGCATAATGCTTTGAGTACGTGGGAAGCCCAGTCACATCCCTGCCAAAAGAGCGTACAAAATACCGTTTGGGAAGTAACTTGTAGTAATCATTTCACATTCAATAAATAACTCTCGAAAAATAGCTCATTGTATCCAATAAACATCGGGGAATCCAGGTACTCGTCTTCAGCCGCCAACCATCAGCGACGCGATTCACCTGAGCTGAATGATTCCACTTCTGTGCAAAACGGATAACTCTGCCTTTGTGTGGTATTGGCTGAATTCGCTGTAAAGTGGTTGCTGCTGCATCTCGCGAAGCAGGTTGCAAAGGTGTTCCTGTATGAAAAAAAATAAATCGATTCACTTTTACTCTGCGGCTGATACGCAAACAAATGAACTGCGACGGCTGGGGCGACTAAGAACATACGAAACGAAAAAAAATCCTGGTAGTGGAATTCCCTGGCATAGTGGCAGAATGCGACTGGGTAGTAAAGTAGACGATCGGATACACTGGGACCAGAGCCTGGGTAAATAACGCTGAGTAACATGAAGTCGGTGTGCCGCTAGCTCGGTGGCCATTGTCTGGAGGCAACGCAAGACACGGCTTTTTATGTGACATCAGACACATTCATGCTTTGCTGCCATCTAGAAATAGTGAGAGATTAGCGTGTCAATAAGAACGGGGAGGAGTAGAGGGATTTGGATAATCTGAACAGACAATATTGATCAAGGTGTCTAGATCTTGCGGTCACAAAGAATTCACTACAATTTAAAGATACCTCTCGATGGCTTTCACTGCTCCGCGTCATAAATAACTTCGGACCACAAGAATGTCAAACAAATGCTCTGGAAGACGATACCGAAAGCACAACTGATGCTAGTTGTTAGCTATGCTCCGTAAGTTCTCCAGCGGATTACATAGTGGGTTGTGTGGACCCCAGCTTGGATGGACACCGACCAATAACAGTCACTACCAGATCAGTGGTTGTCCACAGGGGTTATAAGCCACCTAAGGTGACCGAAGCAGAGCTCCCTTTCATTAAGCGATGAGAGGAGTCACATAACACGTGCTCGCACTAAGACAAGTAGTTTAGTCGTATTTGTTAGTCTAAAGAATCGGCTTGTTCAATACCGTTTCATACTTGACCCTACACTGTGGGCACGCTAGCATCATTTGATACGAGCGATGCTTCGTATGCAACGGTAGTCAAAGATCTGAAAGCATCTGCGGTTCAAAGCTCGCTGTTGGAGGCGAACAGCCCTTATCATGACTTGGGTTACATGGCATCTTAGAGAACACGATGTGCCGCGGGTTCGTGAAGTCAGCTCCAAGCATGCAATTCATCTGGAATTCGCTCACCAATACCACTGAAGCATCAAAATACGTCAAGCGTCCCTGATTCCTCGTTATCAAAACGCAAAGGGCAAGCAATCGGCTGGTGTTCAAACAGCAATTGCACCTTGTGTGCAAACTAACTTCATAGAGTTCACACGGAGGCGATTTTTTCGCCATGCGGTTGTCAAACCGCATACTCTAATGTCGATCTATTCCCAAACAGGATCTTAATAACTGCAACATCGGACCCCATGAGAGAACTGTGATGAATTTAGACAAAAGGGCAGTTCTACCAACAACACTTGTAGTCGCAAAGATACTTGGCAACTAACTGTGGACCGGTTAAAAAAAGCATCAGCAGCACATCAGTAAGCAGTACGGACGCTTCGCCGCTGCGCAGCCACCGCTAGTCGCACGTGGACTAAGGATACTGCGTGGGTCGCCCAGGCCCCTACGCAAGCTCGAACCTGCGCCCTCGGATTACAAGGAAGGCTGTGATTATTAGGGTTACGAGCCTAGTGCGATCAGAGGTGTTCCCGTACGCAACACAGGATGTGCTTTTGGTCCACAGGAACGCCCATCTTTCTTTTTATATATCGTCGGACGAACCGCTTTACTGCGTGTTATTTGCGTCAGGAGTGGCATTTTGCCCATTTATGCGCATCAAAACACTACACTTGTTAAATATATCACGAATGAGTTTAATAAAGGAAAATCTTACGAAATCGACTAATGAGCATAAAAATCCGTTCCAAAGAGATGGCTAAGGCTTGTGACGCAGATTCCCTATGTATTTTCTTCCGCAGTGTGGTCGGACCCCGTCTTCTTGGTCCACATATTTCTTTCAAACGCAGTATAACACGGAGATAACTGCCATTTCCAGAGGCGCGCGAAACTATCCTGAGGCCAAATGCGAGCCTTCCTGCGAAGCTCTGATAAATGGTTAACGAACAAGTCAGAACATACTACCTGATGTGTAGATAGATAAATCAAAGCACAATCTTTTCGGCAACGACTACATCGAAAGACCAAGACATTCCATGCACCATTGCGACGTTTTAACCGGTTTCAGGCCAATCAGGTCTCACTGAAGTTAGTCAGATACTAAGTAACCTAATTGTCAGAGGCCATGCTCGAAATTGGACCCGAGGGCACTGAGGGCCACCGTTTGACTGGACATAGACCTTTGTTGGCCGTTGCTGGCTCCAACAGGAGTATACGCGGTTAGGAAGGCAGCCTCTCAAACATTTAGATCTAACTACTTTGGACTGTGATTTCGGTTACTTATAACTAGCCCGCGAGGTCGTTTGACGCCCGTTTCGGTGAGAAGAGGCATACTGTTAATGTCATTTATATATACACGAGTAACGTTTGTGAACAGAGCCCACTTTACCGTGCTCTTGATTTCACTCTGAACATGTCTGACATGAATCTAGATATGAGACAAGACTCACTTTGATATCTATTTTCAAGGTAGAGTCGTTGGAATAGATGGGATCATCCGTATCGAACTCATATAGGGCTGGCAAACGCGCGTGGGGGAGAAAGTAAAATAATTAAGGGATGAATAACTAACCGACAGCTGTGGTGGTGACAAATTAACCCTACGTATGTGTTTAAGATGGGACAATCGAAAGCAAACCTAACACGATATAGACCAGTGTTCATCTTGGTACAGAAAAACGAAAAATGAGTATGAAACTTTTAGAAATGGGGTGGGAAGAAAATCTTATTGATGGGTAGATTATCTCATGAATGCACATTATCTGTGCGTGAACATAGGTGTTGAACAATAGTTTGGAGAAGCAGCTCGCAGGCCGGTGAGCAGAACTACGTCGATCGGTTCGATTTGCGATGAGAAACCGCGACAAATATGCAGTCTATTTTTGCTGACAACTAAAGTAAAAATGACGCGAGAAGAGCTTGTGTGTATTTGGACTTGCATATAAAAGTCACCATACTAGGATTCAGATGAAGGTCGATGTCTCCTCTCGTGAAACAGCTCAGAGGATAAAGGACTCACGAATCGCCACTCAGCTCAGGCGAAGTAGACTTGATTCGATAATGCGTTTACGACTGCCAGTTCTGGTGAGACTGAATCCACTATACCACGGAGTCGCACTGAATACAATTGCTGAGGTCAGCCTACTGTAACTGCAGTGTTAGTGTCCTATCTCATCGTTGATTTTCATCAGCATGGTATAGAACGAGTTGCGATCACTGGGGGTGACAAGAGCGCACAAATCGGTCGGGTACCATCCTGATGGCCGATTCGGTGTTCGTTCTTCTATTTATAGAAGTGAACAGCAACATGGCCTTCACGCAAACACACATGGCAACATGCCACAGACCATGTTGCCGTCAGTTAGGTATGGCTCACATGGGTGGTGGATTGCTCCATGCGTCTGACTTGGAGTCCAAAGATCACCGATTCGAGCTATCGTAGGTGCGACTGCTAGTGGTCCCGTGGCAGCGATATGAGATGATGGCGTACTGCTCATGCCCTTCTCCCCCAAATCAATCTGATCAGCGTACGTGACCCCCACCCACATACTTATGTGCTGGTTTGTAAGAGGGTTTCTTTCTCTACTTTGCGGCAGAGCCAAATTCAGAAGTCCATAGTTTGTTGCGGACACATTCGACGTAGCAAAAATATGCAGCTGACTGGAATATCGCATGTTGACCGACCAGTCGGGTGAGCTAAGTGATTCTTAGATGCGACTTCAAACAGGCGAAACAAAGGCCTCCGCAGTCAGCAATTTCGGACAGGGATAGTGGAGAAAAGGACAACCTAAGCATAGTTGGCTTATTAAGATGAATGCGGATGAAGAAGTTACTTGTGATACCGGGCATCTATTGCAAGTTTCCTTCATTTCTCGCTTTAATTGAGTCAGTCAATATGAGGAATCCCAGAATGTACGATGCGTGGTCAATTTGTAGAATACAGCACTGGCCTCTTTAGCAGTGGATACACTGTGTTGCTAACAATAGTGCAAAAACTAAACAACCGACCAGCGGTCTCAACAAAAGTGGCGCCATTTGAATGCGATCACTGAGTGTTAGTCACCACTGGGAGATAGGTAATCTTGGTAATGGTTAGGATGGTCCAGCCCAAATGTTACATCACTTCGGTGTTACATTGCCATCAATGCCCAGGAACGTGATGGGGCCAGTCACCACACGCTAATGCCAGTGCACAATTCCTCAGCTCGGAGAACAAACGAAAACTAGAACAGTCGACCCGAGCTACAAGTATTCCGATTTATCGCAAATAATGTAAATGAAAACAATAAATGCCATTGTATCAATAGAGGGCGGAATAGTAACAAATCGTCATACGAAGAGATCGAAAATTAGAACTAGGAGAGATCGAATGGAGCGGCGCCATCTGCCAATAGTAGACGTGACCGGTTAGATAGTGACATCGTGGTTGGAGGGGGAGGCTAAGAGGGATGGGGCGGGACAAAGAAACTCACAACAAGTGTATCCAGCCAAACATGTTCATCGTCTTTCGGACCCCAACTAGGGAGCCGAGACGCTCCAACTGAGGCCAGCATCGAAGTGAGGGTCTTCATTTCCTCTCGACCAAGTCATCGCTTGGCCACCTCTCCTCTTCTTCCATCCACACACCCGGCGCGCAAACAATGCACGTCGCGGGAGTCGGTGGCCTGACATGCGTAACACATGGCCCAGCTATCGGAGCGTGGTGCGTGAAATAACAGTGTGAGCGGTCCATTTCCTTTTCCTGTGCCGTAAACAAGGCGTCGAACACGCTCGTTGCTCATGCGGTGTTTCCACCAGATGTGAGCTAAAGTGCGAAGGCACCGGTGGTCGAACGTAACTAGCCTCTTTACGTCCCGCTGATCTAAGGGGCCAGGTTTCACAACCATACAGTAGGGTCGAACGTACCGCTGCATTGTACACTCTACCATTCAGGGCTAGAGTGATGTCGCGCCGGCGCCATAAGTGGCGAAGGTTAGCAAAAGCTCCTCGACCTTTTGCTACACGGTTCGTGATTTCATCTTCAATCCTACGGGCGCCGATACAACTTCCCAGGTAGTTGAATTTTTGAACTTCTAGTCGATCCACACCAAGGGTCAGAGAAGGAAGCGGTCAAGGTCAATCTTGGAGGAACGCTTTGCACTTCGATCGTGCAAAGCAAAGCCTGAAATGACGGACAGCCAATGCTAATCTGTCAAATGCCGCTTGGCAGGTCTGGGAGTTGTCACAGATTAGGACAATATCATTAGCATACTCCAAGTCAAGAAGTCGTTCTCCTGGGAGCAGATTCACATCTTCTAAGTCGAGTCCTGTGAACACGATTTCCATGACTTCGTCAATAGCGAAGTTGAAGAGGAAAGGTGACGGCCGGCAACCTTGTCTCACACCGCTGGAGATATTAAAGGGCGACGATAGCTTGTCGTAACTCATCACTCTGCCTGAGCTAGGCGCGTATAATGCTCGGATAATATTTACCTATTTATCAGGTACGTCTTTCCTGAGTAGACAATTCCAAAGGACACGGCTATCCACAGAATCGAATGCACCTTTGATATCGAGGAACACGACAACGGTGGGCCGCCTATATATGTGACAGCGCTCCCACAACTGACGCAAAGTGAAGATGTGGTCAATGCAGCCACGATCTCGAAGAAAAACAGCTTGTTCTTCACGAATCTGGCTTTCACAATTGGCAGTCTTTCTTTGAAGGATGACAGAGGCAAGCAATTTAGACGCGATGGAGATCAGACTGATTCCTCTATGGTGGCCGCATTCCGAAAGCGAGCCTCCCTTGAAAATTGGGACTATGAGGGAGCGGCATCAATCGGTTGGGACAGTTTCCTACTCCCACAGTTTCACTAATTACTCGTGTAAATCATCCATAAGAGCAAGTCCCCCGAGTTTGAAGAGGGTTGGAGGTAGATCACTCGGTCGCACGGGGCTTTATTTAACTTCAACAGTGCGATCTCACGTTCGACTTCTCAGCGAGAGGTTGGATCCAAAGGGACAGCCCAGGGAGCGGGGCGATCAGTGGCCGGCGAGAAATCTAACAATTCCGACCGATTAAATTACCTTTCAAAGTGCTCAGCCCAACGCTTCAAGCGTTTTGACAAGTTGTTGATAGGCTGTCCACTCTCGTCACGTATAGTTTCACTAACACCAGGTCTCCTGCCGCCCGTTTCCCGTATCAGCCGGAATAACTTACGATGGTTATCAAGGGCAGCGGCCATTTCCATCTCTGTTGCACATGAGACCACCAGGATTCGCGGTCTCCCTTCAGGCTACCACGGAATTTCGCCCGGAGCTCCTTGCGAGTGTTCGCTTCCAGCCGGAATATGCCGGCGAGCATCTATAAGTTCCAGAGAATGTGAAGAGACCCAGTGTCCATGTTGGACATTAGACATACCACATGAAGATTTCCCTGCTGCTTATAAGGACTGGTGAATATGAGACCAGTGAGGATTTATCCAACTCGCATGACAGCGTACTTTGATAAGCATTCAGAATAGCTGGTTTCACCAGTTGGCTGGTGTCAATGCGGTCACAACGTCGTCTTGGGCGTCCGCCAAAACGCATCCGCAGGTCAGCACATACAAGTGCATGATCGGTGTCCACACATGTGCTCCAAATCGAGCGGCAGTTCTGGACGCAGCCTCTCCATCGGTAACTTATCGCAATGTGATCGATCTGAGTCCATTGATGGTTCGAGACTGGTGGGCGCCAAGTCATTACGGGAGCCTACACCATGTTGGCCGCCCAGATGCAGCTCATCTGTGGATAATTTCCCAACTTGAGCGTTCAGATCCCCGGCCAGCACTACAGTGTCCGAGTTTCTTCTGTGGCGAAAGAGCTCGTTCAATTGACGATAGAAGTCGTCTTTTACCGAGTCATAGCTACAGTTTGCGGGTGCATAGGCATCGATGACGAATAGACACCCGTTAGTCCCACGCGACTTCGAAGATTTGAATGAGCCAGCCAAACGGACCGCACACATCCGGCTACTGATTGGAATCCAGTCAACCAGAGCAGCTTCAGCCCGGGGACTCAGGGCGATACCAACACCGGCTTGGCCGGTACTCGAAGCTGCATCGTCGCCGGATAGGCGCAATGAGAAAGTGCTGTTGGTGTCACCTGAAGGGGACCTCAAAACAAGCACAGAGCTCGAGTCATGCAGGCGGGTCTCCGATAAGGAGCAGATATCGATCCAGAGGGTCTCCAATGTTCGGGCAAGTGCTGCCTGTTGACCGATCTGAAGCAATGTGCGTACATTGAGGCATGCCAATCTGAAAGAGGATCGAGAGCTCCAAATGGAAACCGATGAACTGGAATAGACCGCTTGGTTGGACATGGGCCTGTTGATGGGGCAGAAATAACGCTCCGCGTTCGCATGTGAGTTGAAACTAAAAGACAAGGGACTATTGAACCAAGGTGGGGGAGGGTCGTGAGTGGAGGGCTGAAAACATGGGGATAAAAGTGAAGCTGGAACAAGATGATAAGGGTGAAAAAGCGTAAGGGGGGAAA